ATGAGCCCAGAAAGGCCCAAACTCTAACTGCCTGTCAGAGATGAATTCGCCGTTTACACTAACACGTCGCGGTGAAGGGGTTACTTCACTGCTTTATCAGTCCAAACGTCGGCCAATTTGGGAAATAGCCTTGCCTCTTGTTTATTTACCTTCAACTGACATATGTAGTTGTATATTCCGATTACTTTTGGCTATTAAAAAATTTCTATATCACTTCATTTTGTTAATTTGTGGCCATCCTGTAGATACTAGTCTTCCCAACTATATGTACGTAATTCGGTAACATAACCTGAAACCTAACTTTTGCGCGGAATTCAATTCGCAAACCGTCAGGTTGATAGCGGCGCCTTCTGTCATTGCACAATTGCCATCTAAGAAGTGCATGATGGTGGATATAACCTATCAACGACACGAAAATCCACAGCCGTTTGAGATTTCTCGACAGATGCAGCTAAAAGATAAGAAGGGCAATTCGCTCTACGTTAATCAACGCTGCGGAGCATGTTAAATGCAATTCAAGTCCACAGCGTAGTGAAGGCTATTTGATCGTGTATTGAAAAAAAGCCAAACAACGAGTTTGTCTCACGACAGCTCCATTCTTTTCCAATTTTTCGCAGAACAAGTGTTTTCAAATGAGTAGGACCACTGAAGCCAGTGTAGAACCACACTGTTCTATCATATGCACTCCAATAAGAAGTCATGCAAAACAACATTCTGCCAAAGTCGGCAGTCAAAGATGATTCCAGCTGTGAGAGGCGAAAACTCAGGTCAATGTACTCGAGCCTTCTTGGTTCCAGCTTCAGCGTTCGCTTTAGTGAATTTTTCTAGAGGTGGAACAAACTAATAGCCACACGAGTGAGACCCTAAATGCGGAACTTATACAGCAAGGAAGACGCCCCAAAACCTAAGCTGCTTCAGGTCAGCAGCAGTTCTCACCATTCTTTCTATCGGAGGCGCAGCCTTTGAGAACCTTTGGAACATCGACGGTTTGGACCGGGTTCATAGTCTGCGACTTGGAAGATTAGTATAGTGAGCGACAGGATATTGGGATAATAGAAGAGCAAAGTCTCAGTCTCAATAGAAGGGTCTCAAAGAGCAGATTAGGTGTCTTCAGGTAAATCGATCAACACGTCTCCAGATAATCATTTCAGCGTACTATTCCAATCTACCACCTTCCTACTATCATATACAGGGGGGGGGGGGGAAAAAAAAGTCACTTCCCTCCACATTCAAAACGGAATTGCATTGCGAAACCAAACCAAATGAGCCCAACTGAATATTGAAGAGCACATTCTAATCTATCAAAAAGTTACATAACAGCCTTCTACACCGACGACATCAGAAGATTTTCCCACGGAAACATGGTTCACGGTACGAGCTCAACGAGGTCGTCGAGGTACCATAGACCATTACGACGTCCCTGAAACGCTGGTCAAAAGCGGTCTTGCACAGTCACAGCTAGTGTCTCGAAGCTATTCACCACTTAATCATTGAAGAATTATGTAGCAGGGCGGAAGTGGTGTAGTGACAAGTGGCACGCTTACCACGCGAGCGGTCCGGGGATCAAATCCTGGGTCGTGAGTCGCCCGGGCCAACCAAGCCTTCCATCCCTCCGGGGTCGGTTAATTGGTACCAGACTTGTCTGGGAGGATAAAAACACTGACTTGTACATCGGCTGGCCAATAATCAATACGCATCTAAATTTGTCAGCGACTGCCCTATTCTCCTGATATTCTCCTGATATCCCTGTCAATACATATCGTTTTCATTGTCGTGCGCTATCCTAATCATCCTCTGCATTTGAAGACACAAAGATCCAGCGTTTGAGAACAAATCACTTCTCCAAATCGCGATGCCTCGCTGAAAAGGACGCGAAGTACGATAAGTGGAGGTACAACGAATGGCGTATAGTGCTGGAAGAGTAGCCAAATAAGAATTCCGACTAGCGTGAAACTAATGAAAACGGAAGAGGAGAAATGATGAAGTCGATCCAACAAATACACCGAAGATTTCGGTGACCGCTGTTCATGGCGCAACCCGAACTATTTAAAAGAATTTTCTTTTAGTTATCGTTATCCTATTCAGCACGCTGTTTTGCATCATGTGCTTCAAACGAACTCATATAATGAGCCCCGTTTTTTCTTTTCAAAAAAGAACCTGCACAACTCAGCTGAACATTTAGTTTTTTCCTCGTATAAAAAGCAACACAGTCGTCAATTGGAACTTATCCGTAGAGATTGGAGCGGAAAGGACCATCAAAACAAACGTATTATGCAGGATCTCGCTACTATAAATCTGCCGAAGCTTGAACTTCCAGAATAATTGGCATAAAACGCGAAAAAATCTACTCGAATGGTCACGACGATTTGTCTTCAGCTCTAAATTGACCTAGCCTAATGGGCGATTCGTCTCAAACTCAGTTTCGAGGAAATTTCGACGAAAGCTCAACATCAGTAAGTACTAGTGCGCAGAAGTCAGCGGCTCCAAAACCGTGCAGGATGATTTACTGATGTAACAACTTACCAGTTATACAGATTGCTTTCCCTCCGCCAGGTCCTGTCTTGCCACTCCTGACCGACAACAGGGTGAATAGTGTCAACAGTTTCTCAGAAACGTGATTCGATGTTTTCTGAATTTCATTGCAGAGGTTGATTGTATTTGTTTTTTTCTTTGCCAAATGCACCTTTGTAGGGATCTGAATTAGAAGCCTAAAGAGCTTCCAAATACGCATTGACCTTTACTAAAACTCGCTTCTACCATTTGCTTGGAGAGGGATCACCACTCACAACTGAATCCTTAGGCAAGCCATCGCAGAGCCACATCGAGACTCCGTCTCATCGAATAGTTGTTTTTTTCCTGACCACTGCTCAGCGTTGTCACCAGCGAGCACTTCCTCCCTTGCAAAAACTGCAATTTCTTTGGGCGGTAGCCACATGTCCCTTACCAGATGACACTCTGGTGAGTGTTTTCATGCATAGCACAATTTTCTGTATACTTCTACTACATTATCGAACAACTGACTTTGTAACAGTTTCGCTTCAATCACCAATCCCGAAAAGTGCTTTGTGGGTCAACGTCGTTTGACCTCCTAGCTAATACAAAAAAATACAGCCATAACGGAAACATTCATTCATTATTAAGAACTGTTCTCTCTTTGTACAAGAATATTTCTATACACTTTTGAAGAAAAACGTTTCTCTCGAAGATGCTTACGTACAAGCAACAATTTCATGAAAGGGAACGGAACCTGAACTGGACCACTATATAGTAACTTGATCTACCGCATTCAACACGAAAGGATCCCTGACAGAGCTATGCGTACAAAATTATCGAGAACAGTTTGACGCCATATCAAAGTACCTGGGGCACCATTGTTCTGAATTTTGCTCCACACAGACCCGCTACCACAGTACACTAATTGCAGCACAATTAATTCAAGAAAACAATTGCAATTATCTGCAAACAAAAATCAAAAATCACGTAAACATCAGAACGAATGCACGAGGAAAACGATAAGTAATTATGTTCATGAAAATGCAAGCAAGACAAAGCTCGAATTTTAGACGGTAGATGTATTGTCACCTTAATCTCAATTATAGACTGAGTTCAATGCTTTCAGTGCGCTTGCTGAATTTTATACGGTTCTATAGGTTTTATGCGAAACTCCGAAATCGAATCCAATACCCAGTCCACCACAAGTACCTTGAAAAAAGATTAACATCGCGAAACAGTAATCACCAAAAGAAGAGATCAAGCTGACTCACAGGGACGCCATCCATGCTCGCTTCATACCGACGGGCCACGTCCCATTCCTTGGAATGCGACATAAAAATCGTATAAGCGTTTTTGTAGTTGGCAAGCTCCCAAGGTTTATCACAACAAGTGCCTCCACACAAAGTGATAAGCTCCTTCAATTTCTGTAAAGAACGTACGACTAAGAGCCAGCGATCATAACACGAAAATCAGTATCATTCAAGTATCTCTTTATCGTTCTAATTCCTCGTCTGGATTACTTCATCTTTCTATTTTTGTATTTGGAGATGAACTGACAGCATTAAGTATAGGAATAAACTTTGCGCCCCTGCAGCTCAATGGATGGAGACGTCACAAGTTTCTGCAGCCTACGCTTAATATGATACATGAGATGGGCCACCATCTCAAGTATTAAGTAATTAACACTCTTCTAAATGAAATTTGTATGGGATATTAAACTTAGTAATGTGAATATAGGCCGATCTAAGTGAATCAGTATGCATAAACTGACAAACATTCAAGTGCCTCGATAATGCTTAATCAAACTTAAGAGCGATATTTCAATGATGCAAAGCTGTTCGCTGCCTACATCGACTTCAAAATTGAAGTTTTCTTTCACGATCTATTTTGGGAAACGAATTCTTCAGAGAAGCATTGCTGGATGCATCACAGCATTATTTTATAACTTGGAAGCAAAAAACAGCCATCAATACATCTCTTCCAAACAAGTGCAGTGTCATTTTTCAACATTTTTAGAAAGATGGATGTTAGGCGATCAATGTTGTACGGTCCCCGGGGAAGAAGTTCCTGCAGACAAATGAGCAAACGTACTTCATGGGACAGCAACTGCGAATGAGAGAACGTCCTCGGAAGAAAAAAGCTCATCTGATTAAACAGCGGTTCTGTGCTTCGTCTGGCACGAATCCAACCAGGTTCCTCTCCAGCAGTCTCACATGCCAGTACATACTGTGTCTGAAGTGGAGTAAGAATGCTGTGGATTTCTTTTTCTGAGGCATAATGAGCTTTCATATCATGAAATAGCAGCCAACAAAGGACATGTAAAAGAAAAATCGCGATAAAATCACAAGACGAATCGTTTAAGGAATCTCTGTGGAGGGGGACTTTCTAAGCAAAAATAGGCTAGGAAAGTACCATTGTGCGTACGCTTCTACCTCAGAGATTACGTAAAATCGAAATCCTTAAGCTGGATGGTCATTGCTTTCTAGTAGCAATTATACTTACATATTTTGAAGAGGGTTAAACAAAGTTAGCACCAATATTACTAGTTGATAATTCATGGCAGAACCAAGTTGTCTACCCAACACTCCCAAGCACAACTCTGCCACGCTTGAACTTTTCCACACTTCTTTTGGAACTGTGGAGCAAACCAGCATCTTGAGCTTCCTTTCCTCTTCAGGAACGAGCTCTAGTATATTTAGCAAGAAGAGCTTCAGTATTTATTGATATGATAATTGAATCTCTGTTACTGATAAAGGAGACAACAAAGCAAGAAAACTAACCGTAGGCAATAACTCTTTCGCTTTTATTGAATCTTCCAACCACGAGCGAGCGAGCAATTCACATTTTCGAGCCACAGCAAAAACGTATCGAAGAGATCGTCTTTGGCACAACCTCTCCTCTGCAACGAACCTCTTTATTTGGTTTTCTCGAAGAATTGTTGAAATCCATTCCTATACTTAAGGTTGTCGACTACTCGAATTAATTACGGTCCTGTTTGGTAGCAATTAATTCTTTTACTATGTGAGTTTGTTTACTTATTCTCCCCATAAACTGTTGAAGAAAGTAGTGCAGGGATGAGAAATCCAAATCCAGTTAAGCTTACAACAGCAGAAAGAAGAAGGGTTGTCGGAGGCAACAGGCATGCTATGGTCTGTGTTAAGACAGCTTGAAAGCAGTTCCTTGAGTCAATTCAGAAAACCCTTACTTCCGACCATTGACCGACCTTGCATGGCACCAGACTTATCCTATATGTACTACTACTTCCTTCTTATAATAGATAGATAATGCTCATTTGGCTTCTCTGCGCCTCGCTCCTTCTTCCCTACCATGAAAACCTTCCTGTCTATTATGTTACAATACCTCGGTGCACTTGACATATCTCAAGTGCAGACTACTTTTGAATCTCAAAATAAGGAGGATCACACAACGCGATGGAAAATGAGAAGAGCATGCAAAAAAGGCAAAATAGTCGAATGATAAGAAGCTCACGAGAGTTCATCATAACAAGATGAGTGGAGGAAGGTGTTATATCTTCCTCGTAGCAAACTTGTGGGAACATTTTGATGAAGTTGCTTACTACTTTCTAAAATAAGCACATAGTTAGAGGTTAGTCCGACCACACAGAGAAATGATAACACCATTGCTGGCAGTTTCCAAACTCACTTCATCCTCGACACAGCTTATTCGCGAAACACTCAAGACCAAGATTTTTTGATCGTCTGGCTCAGGATCAATATCAAGAGAGGAATATTCAAGCTCTAAAATAGTATAATCAAGCAAAATCAAGCTTCCAAGGTATTGTTTATTTCGATTACAAAAAAAAACAAGGACCTTACCGCAGGGGACCGAGTCGAAAGGAGCCTGCATTGTGATTTCCATAACCTCATCGTTGATATCACCAGGCTCGCTAGGTGGATCGGACTGTGGAACAACGTCACTCGAAGACCGTGTACAAGAGGAATTCGGACGGTCTGTTTCCTGAAGCACAAAAGAATTTTTCTCGTAGGTGGATAATAAGGTATGCAAAAAAGCACAGTATTACAGGACCTTTAAGCATTACTTCACTCCATACACTCAGCAAACTTTATCAGACAAATATTGAGGCTCTAAAGAACTTACTCCATTTAACATTTCCTTGTTGCCGTTTAGATCGACAACTGTGGCAACTTCCGCTACAACTTCGGATTTTACAGCAGCTGGAGGTTGGGTAGCGTTCAATTCGTCATCATCGCTGTCACTAGCAAAATCATCTGAAACGCGACAGATATCAAAACGGATAGTTCTCTGCTCAATTTAGAAAGGTGTGCTTTCCATCTTGAGAAGATACCTAGAGTGATAGTTTGTGAGGAGCAGCCTTCTGCTCCTTCTCCGGCTGGCTTGACGACTTCAGATGTTGGAGCAGAACGTAAAGGTTGCAGCGTAAAAACTTCACAAAGTGCAGGAACATTCTGTAAGAGAAATGATGAGTATGTAATATCGAGAGAAAGCGAAAAAAACATAACCTCTTCCAACAGATCCTTTAATTCTGGCATCAGCACAAAGAGAGCATTCAAGTCCGAACTGCACTGAGCAGTGTGGTGAGGGTTCCTTTCTGAGAATGTACACTAATTTGATGTTGCCGTTAGAAGAGAGAAGATGTGAAACATACCACGGAATGATGCTATAGTTCCCCGCAAATTGCGACAGATGCAAGTAGTATCAGGTAAGTTGCACTGCACTTCAGCCGACTTCATCTGCGGATACCGAGCAATATCGCTATCACATCTACGAGCCAAAATCGCGGACTGAAAGAAGGATATGAATGACCAAAATAATACTGTCGACACTAAAACAGATCAAACCCATTACTATGATAATGAGCGAAATCAAGCCGGAAATACCCACAAAACATGCCCAGCTACCGACATTGTGCCAAGATATCACAAAATAGTTTGGAAAACCATCGAAGCCAAGCTTATGCTTAGACCCAAGCTTCAATCCTCTGAACTCGTTCATGACCCTAATCATCCATGTCTAATGGAACATTGGTGACGACCCCTTCCATGTGAACGCTGCTTCACTTGGTAGTTAAACTACCGAACTCAGTTTGGTCAAAAATCACTTAGATCTTGATACAACACTCTTGGTCACACCTTCCTACGCACTTGCTGGTTTGGAGCACCGGCATCAAGAGGTTGTAGCGGGGTATTCTCCTTGCATTCAGCCTCCTCAGTGATATCCTCCATTTTCGAGATCTTTGATCCGACTTCGATTTTCAGTGGTTGTTTCCGTCGCGCACGCTGAAATTATTCTGGCTTACGCACATCAATACTATTCAAACCTAGTCATGGAGAAAGAGTGAAACTAACAGCTTTCGGAAGTACAAACTGAGGTGTTGGGCGAAAATCACGCATTGGGCTATCACTCAATTTCGGGTCCATGGGTACCTGAAGTAATGGGTCGGCAATGCAAACGGTAAAACCACTAATAAGAAGAACGAATGCAACCCCTCAGACTTACTTGACTATCCATGAAGGCAACATCCTTGGGTATAGAAAGGGTCTGCTCTTGAGAGTCTCGTAGAAAGTTTCGGCCAAGTTGAAGGTATCCCTGCACCATCGATTCATGCTGCTCAGATGGAGTACAACTCCTAGAAGCGTATTATAAAAAAGAATGGTAAATATCTTAATAGGAATAAACACCTTTTGTTTATGGACTGACGACATAAAGGACACTCCACAACTCGTCGACGTTGAAAAACAACATCTAAACAGTCCTTGCAGAAAACGTGACCACATGTAGCCGAGACGGGATTGGAAAAGGTCGAGCGACTTAAAAGAAAACATCATGACTCCTTCCCGTATGGTTAAACCACATGTTTTAGCAACTAACCAAATACCGCATTTCAGTTCAGATTGGATCTTGGCCATCACATTATTAATCTTCAAAGCAATCTCATACAATGTTTGCACCGACATCTCAGGCTTCAACAACGCTTACAAGGTAAGCTCCAAATGAAAGATAGGTTTCTGAAATGCTTAACGGGCATACAGTGCACATCGATAAAAAAAACAAACCATCAACTGAGCTGCGATTGCGAATGTATTGATAAGAGTCACGATAACGAATCATTACAGTAAGACTATTCATCGGCAAACGAGACTGAGGGAACTTATCTCTGTGTAGCCCTGTGTCACTATTACTGAACCAGAACCTTGACCCTATGCAAGCCTCAGAGATGTTGCGTGAATATCGACTGTTGGTTAACAATCGTGAACTATTTCACATCAGTAACCAAAAAAAAACGATTTTATTGGCAATACGAATTTTTACACTTCGCGCTCGGCCTTCTGCCGCCCTTTAAACTGAGACTAGAGCACAAAAACACCCATGTGGGTCGCGGTACGTACTTGGTAGTCGTGAGGGCGCACGCATAGTCGGTCGTCCGACAGCAACGATCGCAACTGTCTGACTGTCTAACTGCATCTAATCGTCGAATACTCAGGCAAGTCCGACGATCGATACGCATCCAATGCTGTGCGACAGTTACGATCGTTGCTGTCGTCCGACCGACTATGCGTGCGCCCTGACAGCGAAGGTCCGCAATTCGAAACAGCTGTGCATAGTCTCCATTATTTAATGAAAGCTTCTTCAACCGGTTTATGTCAATAAGGAATTCATATTGTAAGTTCCTGAGTCGATTGCTGAACACCTCAAAGAGAAAATGTGATGGGGTCATAAAGTGAAAACCCGGGTGTGGTTCGTAATAACACAAAAACGAATGTTTCGGCATTTCGTCCGCGGCGAAAGAGTCCTTCGCGGCGGAACGGCTCGGGTTCCACAGTCCCAGAGGGAAGCCACCAACTTGAAGTTTTCGGTGCTAACTTAGTTGGGGGGGGGGCACGCGGCGGCGCGGCAGTCTGCTCGCCTGGCATGTTCGGAAATCCGTGGGCCAGGGGGAGTGTAGGCAGTCTAGGGGGGTGGGGGGTGGGGGCAGTCACTTGACATGCGTGAAAAGCTGGAATGTTCGAGTTTACACTGTCTCGCTCGAGAGAGCCCAGGTGAGCAGACTGCCGCGCCGCCGCGCCGCCGCGTGGCCCCCCCCCCCAACTAAGTTAGCACCGCAATTTCCTTCCCCAGGGGGATATATCCCCCTACTCTGATTCAATCCTCTGGGGGGACAAAAAAGGGTTGCGTCATAGGACCTAGCATACCTCTGTGTTTCTACCTGCCAGACAGTTAGAGCAGCGCGACCCCTCAGGGAAAGAGTGCTTCATCAGTGGAGGGTAGTAGCGCTGCTCTAACTGTCTGGCAGGTAGAAACACAGAGGTATGCTAGGTCCTATGACGCAACCCTTTTTTGTCCCCCCGAGGCCGGACGCATAGTCGGTCGGACGACAGCAACGACCGCAAGTGTCGCATAAACCGCGGTTGCAAATGGAAGGCGACGCGGTCACCCAATGCTAACCCAGACAACACGTGACTGCGCGTGATCGTATTTCGAAAGTCCCACTGTAGTGTGGAATAGTAGCTGCGTATTGATCTGCGACACTTGCGGTCGTTGCTGTCGTCCGACAGCAGCAGTCGAAGCAGGGTGAATATCGGTCGAGGAAATCCTCGACAGGGGGGTCGTACCTGTTGGGCTGGTCCATGGGGGGTCGTACTCTTGGGGGTCAGTAACAGAAGTGGTATCATGGTGCAGATAGGTAATAGGGTATAGCGCAGCAGAAAATGAAAACATCCGAAAAAAAACATGATATTAAATTTTCTTTGCAGGTTCAGTCGCTCCATTCCTCCACCTTCATGAGAAGGGCGTATTTGAAGGCAGTACAAAGAATGAAAGTGCATCCCCGCAAAGAAGACTGCCACATGTGCGCACGCGCTGCAAAGGCACCTCCTCCGCCTATCACTCGCTCCTTCTCCCTTAATACCTCGCTGAGAATGACGCTGTTGTTAGGGACCCTGTCGGAAAAACGACAACCGTGAAGAAAAAGCGCTGGGCAAATGAAGTTGTTTTTTAGGTTACAGGAATAGCACAACACACTATGTCTACTACAATACAGTTTCGTTCGAAGGTCCCCATCATATAACACCTTTCAATCGATTCTGCAACTGTGAGTGGAGGAGGGATGCATGGCTTATACCAATACCAAATCGGATGATGACGATTGCTCCTATTCTTATTGTTTGCGTTCAAAGATATTGTTCTAGACACATTCCGAGTGTTGCCAACGAGTCACACTTGCAATGGTGAATGAGGGAGCGGATTTCCAGGTGGCCGGATCCGACCTCGATAGATCCTCGACGCAATTATCTCTTCAACCAAAAAGCTGTAGAAGAAAACTAAACAGACCATCAGGAAGCGCAAACCTTCCGCTTTCCCAAAACTATCTTCCCTTTTTCAGGATCTTACAATATAAGAGATATATTGCTCTTGAAGTGGCAAAAACTCGCGTGAAAATTTCGGCCTCCTCGACATTTACTCGACGAAATTTGAGAGACCCTATCTTTCTGCAAGGAAGGCTTCCAGAGCAATTTCGATGCTTGTTGGAAACGCGAAATCCAGCTCTATCTAACTCTACCTCAAGCTGCTTCAAAGGTTGTGAAATGGAGGAATGCAACCTTTTCATCGAGGGTGTAGATTCGGACGTTTTTTTTTGAAATTTCGGCAAATCTGACCCAGTGACAATCGCGCCGCAGCTGCCGTTGAATCGGCCTTTGATACACTCGGCTGTTTTGATATACTCAAGCAAGAATCAAGATTGAATCGCAACCCCGTGTCTTCAGGATTTCTGTGCGTTTCTGAACGAACCTCGCCTTGAGGTCACACAAAGTTAATGCCTCTTTCCTCGAGTCGATATTTCAGTATGTACACAAAAGTATGCAGCGATGGAAGACGTGCATAGATGACAAGATGAAGCGTCCTTAGCATTATTTTGCAGAATTTTTTTTTGATTTGTTTTGCAGGATTTATTTTAATTGAATTAATTTGCTCTGTTAGAGGGGGTCGTGCCAGGATCTCGATTTCGGGGGGGGGGTCGTACCTCTGCGACCACGTACTCGACACGATTTTCACCCTGGTCCAAGTGGGTCGCCAGTGTCGCAGATCGATACGCAACCCGCGGTTTATGCGACACTTGCGGTCGTTGCTGTCGTCCGACAGCAGCGGTCGTAAGTGTCGCATGTGTCGCAGATCGATACGCACCCAATGCTGTGCGACACTTGCGATCGTTGCTGTCGTCCGACCGACTATGCGTCCGGCCATAGAGTGGAATTAGAGGAGGGGGATATATCCCCCTGAGGACCGGAAATCCCTTTAAATTTTTTTGTTTTTAACGATGTATTTTCTTCATTTTTCAGTGCATGCTTACTGTGACATACATACATACATTAAACCTAGGGCCCTTTATCAGGACAATCCCAGTTGGGAAGACAGAGAAAATTCAAAGGGATTTTCGTCCCCCAACCCCTGGGGAAGGATTGAATACCGCCCCTGTCTCCGTGAACTCCGAGTTCCCCGTCACGAAAACCGTAGTAGGGGTACGCAACTGCACAAAATCCAGGCGCTCATCCAGTAAGGGGGGCATCAAGTGGCTGCCCTCACCCCCCACCCCCCTAGACTGCCTACACTCCCCCTGGCGCACAGGTTTCTCGAAGTACGGGACCCCGTGAGCCAGGGGGAGTGAAGCCAGTCTCAGGGGGTGGGGGGTGAGGGCAGCCTACTTGACGTTGCATCACAATGCCCCCCCCCTTACTGGATGAGACCCGAGTCGCTTCTGTCGCTAATGAAACCAAACCCTTGGTCCTTGATTGATGGCAGTGTCTTGTCAGTTGTGATTGTTAAAGTTTTTGATTTCCCTTTCAGCTCTTTTTTCACCATGACTTGACTGAATCAGGTTGCCACCGGACATAATCACAAGTTAATGCGTGTTGTTGTACAAAATACACTGGTGTGCAAAACTTAAGGACGGAAGTAACTTTCACATGATATCTCACTGCTAGTTAACCTAGGTGGACCAAATTTGGCACATATATAGAAGTAAATGTTGCGGTACAGTGCAGAGAGTTACTAACAGAAAAGCGCAAAGGGGCGATTGGAAAAGAAATTTTTCTGCAGTGTCTGAAGCGGTCGATAGGTGAGGCTTCTCCAACTCATGGTAGACATTCAAAAGAGAGGAGCTGGTTCTTGATGGGGTGTATGAACACTACGGACTGCAAAGCATGCTCTGCCACGTGCTCCCATACTGGCCACAAGGTTGGTTAAGAGTTCTTGTGGAGAAGCGATCCATTCCTTGAAGACCTGAACAACTGCTGGACAGTTGTTGGCGCATGGGGATGCGCTACAATAGCTCTCCTGAATGCACGCCACACGTGCTCCATAGGATTTGACTGGGGGAAGCGGCAGGCTTCACCAATCGCCGAAATCCTCGCTTTTCAAGAGTTTTCCACTGGCTGCTCGATGCTCTCGCACACTGTCCTCCATACGACTGAAGTTGAGGTCGAACACCCCTGGTGATCAGAAAATGTACCGCCATCACGAATTAGGAGGGTAGAACGCCTCGGCAAACTCGATGCCTCCCACACTTGGCCGCAGGATATATGAGGCCCAGTTTGATGTCCATGACTGTAAGACATTAGCATTATGCTTGCACAGTTTCATCCAATTCCATTAATTGTTAATAAGTTATGTCAATTTATCCATCTCGCCCTTGAAGTTTTGCACACCAGTGTAGGAAAGGGTAAAAGAGAAGAAGATAGGCATGGCAAGGTCTGTTCAACTTCCTCTCTCGCTGAGAAGGATTTGATTACGGAGCTTGCGCATCTGCTTGCGACGACCTAAAGGAAGAGTTTCGTTTGCGGCCAAAGGGAGCAAACTGGGCCTGACATCCCATGGGGGTCAGGCGGTCCGGAAAGGGTTAAGGAGTTATTGTATGTAGTTTCGTTGTGTGGTTCATGATTTGGCGACAGGACTGTATGTA